AAAAAGAATTATTTTTCAGGGGGCGCCTGGGTGGCTCAGTCGGTTAAGCTGACCTTTGGCTCAGGTCATGATCCCAGGGTCCTGGGATCGAGCCCCTCATCAGGCTCCCTGCTCAGTAGGGAGTCTGCTTCTCCCTCTCCCTCTCTCCCCAGCTCTCTCTCTCAAATAAATAAAATCTTTTTTAAAAAAAAAGTTTTATTTTTCAAATTTGTTTAAGGATTGAGGCTAAACACTTTTAAATATGATAGGCAAATTTTTTAAATTTTAAAAGTATTTGAATACTTTGTGGTTTTTTTTTAGGATTTTATTTGAGAGAGAAAGAGAGAGCGTGGGGGAGGGGCAGAGGGAGAGGGAGAAGCAAACTCCTCACTGAGCAGGGAGCCCGATGCGGGACTCAATCCCAGGACCCTGGGATCATGACCTGAGCCGAAAGGCAGATGCTTAACCGACTGAGCCACCCAGGCACCCTTGAATAAATTCTTAAACATTAATTTCAGTTTCAATGTTATATTTCTGTTTGGTTTAATTTGGCATTGTAGATCATCATGTAAACATTTTTTTTGTTTTAAAGATTTTATTTATTTATTCATGAGAGACAGAGAGAGAGAGAGGCAGAAGGAGAAGCAGGCTCCCAAGAAGCAGGGAGCCCTATGCAGGACTCGATCCCAGGACCCTGGGATCATGACCTGAGCCGAAGGCAGACGCTTTACCATCTGAGCCACCCAGGTGCCCCATCATGTAAACATTTTTAAAAACTTTATATTTTTTAGGTGGAGTTTATTTGCATTGTTCACCTCTGGATCTTTTCTAGCCACCATTTTTACTTCTTATTTTTAGTTCACTTTTCCATCTGTGTCTTTATTTATACAGTTTTGTTTTTCTGAATGGGTACCAAAATTAATTAAACTTTTTAAAAAATTCCCAGTTGTCTAACATTGTATTTCTGATTCCTTCTCACAAATGACTACTTGGGTAGGTACAAAGATGACAGTCTTTTTTCCTTTAATACTAAGTATTTCTGCACCCTTTCTTTCATTTAATATTTTAGGGAGGATCTAATGTAATCTCAGTTTTGTCACTGAGGATGACCTGACTTTGTATATGTATGTGTGTCTGCCTCCTCACCCTTTGGGCTCCTTATTTTTGACGTTAAAAAAAAAATTCTACCAGATTTTAAGTAGGTGACACTCAGATGTCATTACTTTTGCCTGGGAATATCATAGAGATTCCCATTATCAAATTGAAATGTTTTGATTTTTTTTTCTTTTAAGCTCAGAAAAAGGTTATTGGTTTACTTTTACTTAGTTATTTGCTCTCATGCAGAAGCCTCTTTTGCTATGCATTGATTGGCCTTGAGACTTTTGGCTCGTAATTTTTCTCATATCCTTTTTCTCTGGGTTTAGAGAAAATTTCTTACATTTTGTTCCATCATTTTGTGAGTTTTCATTCTGGAGAACACTGACTTTGTTACAATTTTTAATTTATTAACCTTGTTTGTCATTTCACTCTTACAAGATTTCCTTTTTATGAAAGTTCATTTTAGTTTATTAGGACCTATCTTTTTTTTTTCTTTAAGATTTTATTTATTCATTTACTTGAGAGAGAGAGAGAGAGAGAGAGGGCACATGAGCAGAGGGAGAAGCAGAGGGAGAGAGATAAGCAGACTCCACGCTGAGAGCGTAGCCCGACATGGGGCTCAATCCCACAAACTTGAGATCAGGACCTGAGCCGAAACCAAGAGTCAGACACTCAACGAACTGAGCCACCCAGGTGCCCCAGGACATATCTTTTATTGTAAAGGCAGACATAAGCTTACTCAATTTGTTTTCCAGGATGAAGTGGACTGTGTCTTAAGTTAATGTGAGTCTCTGCCCAGATTTTTGAGAGAGACATGTCAAGACTTATACTGAGGGAAGTTAAGAAGGAACTGTTGGGGCAGAGGGATTTGTTTTGAAATGGGAAAGTATGAGTCCTCCAACTTTGTTCACTTTTATGATAGGTTTGGCTATTTTGGGTCCTTTGCATTCCATATGAATTTTAGGATCAGCTTGTCCATTTCTGTAAATTATTCATCTGTATTTTTGATAGGGATCACACGGAATTTGTAAGCTCAGTTGGGGAGTATTGCCATCTTAACAGCATTAAGTCCTCTAATCCATGAATGTGGGATGTCTTTCCATTTAGTAAGGTCTTTAATTTCTTTCAAGTTGTTTTGTACTTTTCATTATATAAATCTTATATTTATTGTTAAGTTTTTTTAAAAGCATTTTATGCTTTTGATGTTATCCAGAGTTTGACAGAGTAGCAGCATCTAGTAGGAGTTGGTTTGACCTGATCTCCTCCCCTAACAAATAGGTAAAACACCAACTTGCTTTATATACAGTAGGTCCTCAGAATGGCTATTTCTAGAAAGAAAGTTAGTAATAGCAAACTGGACCAGACTCCCAGTTGTTAAGAGTATAGTTATTCCAGACCCTTTATTTATTTATTTATTTAAGATTTTACTTATTTATTTGAGAGAGAGAGAGCATGAGAGGGCTGAGGGGCAGAGGGAGACAGCAGACTCCCCACTGAGCAGGGAGCCTGATGCAGGGCTCAATCCTGGGACACCGGGATCATGACCTGAGCCAAAGGCAGTTGCTTAACCAGCTGAGCCACCCAGGCGCCTCCAGACCTCTTTTTTAAAGGATTATTTTCTGCTTATAAGAGTAATATATGCTCGTAGAACATATATGTACTAATTATATTGTTTTCTCCAAGTTAAAGTTTTATGAGTGCTGTTTTAATTTCTCCCTTTTGGTTTTCAAAATCATATGACTTTTCTCTAATGACTGCTTTTGGCTTATCGTGTTTTATATCTTGCTCTATTGAATAAGAATCAATTTAGGACAGGGCGCCTGGGTGGCTCAGTTGGTTAAGCGACTGCCTTTGGCACAGGTCATGATCCTGGAGTCCCAGGATCAAGTCCCGCATCGGGCTCCCTGCTCAGCAGGGAGTCTGCTTCTCCCTCTGACCCTCCCCCCTCTCATGTGCTCTCTCTCTCTCTCAAATAAATAAAATAAAAAAATTAAAAAAAGAATCAATTTAGGACAATTTCAATTAGCATAAAGTTTCCAGAATTATTCAATTAACTATTATCTCATGAAGTGGGGTGCCTGAGTGGCTCAGTTTGTTAAGCATCTGACTCTTAATTTTGGCTCAGATCATGGTGTCATGGTTGTGAGATTGAGCCCCGCATTGGGCTCTGTGCTGGGTATGGTTAGGATTCTCTCTCTCCCTGTCCCTTCCCCCCCCAAAATAAGAAATAACAATAAATAAATATGTCATGAAGAGACAGTGTTCTTTTTTTTTTTAAAGATTTTTTTTTTTTTTAAAGATTTTTTTTTTTTTTAAAGATTTTATTTATTTATTTGAGAGAGAGAATGAGATAGAGAGCATGAGAGGGGGGAGGGTCAGAGAGAGAGGCAGACTC